GAGCTGGACATGCTAAAAAATTTAATAATGTGAAGAAATTCTGCAGTTCTCCAGGCCGTATGCAAATTTAAGAATTTCATTAATACTTCTCCACATCAAAACTTTCACCATGTTTATTTAGCATGGACTAAGTTTTTCACCGAAAAATCGAGCAACATCCCAAATTCATCGTTATCAACTTGCCGACGAGAACAGCTCGAGGAAAGGTTGAAATTCTATAAGGAAAACTTTCTCCAAAAAAGCCGATGGCATGGACGAGTTAGAGAAATAAGAATTTCGAATGAACTGAATTCAAAAGTTGTCAAAATACGAAAAAAGATGATTTTTCCAGGAGCCATGAACGGGTTGAGTTTAAACCAGGATAGATATTTTCAGAAAATGCAATTGGTAAATGGATTCAATTCACTTTAAGTCAATCTGTGATTTTTCGACCGGATAATTCTCTGTTCATGCTTCATTTCTGAGGCCTGGTGAATGTCCAAGTGGATTGGATTGAAATGGACACAGTATAGAATTACGTTACATTAAGGAAATGAAGTTTTACAAGATGAAAGAAAATTCCTCCATTGCCTTTGAAATAGGATGGCACAGCGAGCAATCATGTCCAGTCGGAGTGGTGTCCAAATCCAATGCTACAAAGAATATTTCTTCCCAATTGAAGAGCCAGAGAGGAAAAGGGAGAGATGAATTCACCAGAATTCCAAGATGGTGAAAACGAAACATTAAACTAAACGACCTGCGACTCCTGCAATACAATCTTGTTTAATGATGGCAGCGCAGTCCATCCTCCATCTAAATCTTTGAAGTTTCACATTCTCGTGGAAATTGGAACATGACTAAAAGGAAAGTGGCAGGAGAAAACAAATGTCAATTCCATCACATTTTCATCATCAAACTTGACATCCTTGAGAAACTAATGTTTTTCAAGATCAAGTAGATCAAAACATTACGCACTAAAAAATTACTGACTGGCCTACTTTTACTTTCACCTGCAAGAGAATTGATTTGATTGAGTAAGGAAGGTTATCAATGACCAAATTTCGTAACAGTGCCAATCATGACTGAGCAATCAATTGGGAGTTATAATTACACGCACATAAATGTCCACTCGTGCTAATTAGAACCACTCCACATGGAATGAACGCATCTATTTACAGCATCATATTTTCCATTTCATGGTCAATTTTTCAAAGTATTGCACAAGTATGTGATGTCAGAAACCGTGCTTGTATCAAAAAAATGTCCTAAAAGAACCTGTCCTTACTGTAATTAATATAATTTGGTCACTCATACATCAGCCCAACGTACATAAGAGCGCGTTTAAACGAACTAATAACTCTGTCTTTGGAGTTTGTTTGTCTTTTTTGGTTCCTGTTTTTTTTTGTATTGCATAATTCCAACTTCAATTTGTTTCAAACCTCTTTCATTTCCGTCTCGATTCGCATATTGAATATCTCATGGTCACAATTGTCAGTTTTTCTTTTTCTTCCCTAATTTTGTCATGCATGCGTTACGATTACGATTGCATGCACTTATTTCGAGCCCCCATCGGCCTGTCTGTCTTGGGGTGGACATGCTGCTATTTGCAGTTGATAAGACACACTGCGGTTGATCAAGCAGATAAATTCTACTTGGTTACGAGCGAATGTGAATTAGACGACCGAATCAAATCCATAATGCACACTTGGATGAATTCACTTTCCTTTCGTTAAATAATGCAGTCATCAGCATTTAGCTCGCGCTTTCACTTATTGCACTGTGCCGATGGCCATTTCAGTTATGTCCTATCCGCTATTTCTCCTTCTTAGTTTCCTCCATTCACCGAGTAAGTTCATTGCAGTGGAAGAAGAGGAAGTTGGTGAAGAACATGGTGGTAGGAATCGCTTCATCTATTTGACAAGACATTGACATTACTTGCACTTTCACCCTCGTTGCTGCACCGACGGAGAAATGTCACTTTTCGTCAAGTCGAGTCAAGTTCAGTCATTACGAGTAATATTATTGTGCAACAAACTGCTGATATGAGCACTATAATTCCCATTATAGGTTGTTTCATGTCGCTTAACGGACCTTGTGAGAGACAAGGATAAAAATTCGTCAGGGTTGTTATAATGACGTGCTTATGTGAATCGTGGTGTGAGACACGACCCTGGGGAAAATTCTAAGAGGGACATGACATCAGTTAGTTGCGGAGAAATGAGGTTTGCACAATTGGGGGCGAAAAACATAAAACTTGTAATCAAATAAAATGCTTATCGATAATTGGAGCTATCAATTGCAAAAGTATGTATGTATGTATGTACATATTTTTAAGTGTATGTATTATGACAAATTATCGTGCTTATCAATCAAGGAAGAACTCTATGATTTGACTTTAGAACTAATCCTAAGCTATCTAATTGCTGTTGATAAATGATGACGGAGATACATGTAGAAGAATAGTCTGCTGTTCATATTAAGATAATAACAGCAAATTGTTCAATGGAAAATTGCAAAGGTTAGTTAATTGTAGAGATAGTCTACACATTTCATTGAGACTTTATGAGAAATATGAAGAATTTCGTGGTCAGTGTAAGTACACAATTTCATACACAAGCAGCAGACAAGGCTTTCTTTTCGAAATCTACCTAAAAATCTTTAAAAATTTCTAAAATGCTGACGGAGAAGGCACTTAAAGAATTTGGAAATTTTCTGGCTTTGACTGATACACTATTACCAATATTACCATTTAAATGGGAGCATACAAAATCAAGGGTGAAAGTCTCTCAGTCTGTTCGTCACATAATTTGCTTTGTACTGATTACAACATCATTTTTCGCGTATGAATTTTATTTTATTTTCCGACTCAATCAAATCGTACCAATCTCCATGAAAGAGTGTCACCTTCACAAAGATTGCTTATCAAGCTCGGAAAAATGCAGTGAATTTTTCGTGTCAATTGGTTGGCTAATTGTTTACGTGAACGGTTATTTTTGGGGAATCTTGGCCATTGTAAACTTCTGGAAGTATCGTCGTGAATTTGTTGCCTTTCAGAATTCAGTGATAGACATCAGTCATAGAGCAATGTCATGTGAGATAAGACCTTATCTAAGTCATAATTTTGCTCTTTTAAGTAATCCATTTATTATTTATTCAGTTGTTGAACGGACGAGGGGATTACTTTCTCCGGGGAAAGGACCGGATGTGCTGTTTATTGTCCTCCGGTTTTACAAACTCATGACCTTGTTTGCATCCATTGTTTTATATTTTGCTCAATTACTTCGTCCAAACAGGGGACAATACTTTGCAGCAATTTTTAACGATGAAAGCAACAAATTCTATAAAATGACTACATTTCTGGATATGTTTATAGTAACGCTGTTAATAGTTGTTGCAATGATGGAAGTTGCAATACTGGCATTTTACCTAATTTGCATATCTAAGATTTTAGTTTTGCTCAGGTACATTGACTTAATTTTTGTGTGCTTGAATGGCAGTAAAATTTTGGCTAATTACTTAATTTTTCGCAGAAACTACCGGGTTCCTCCAATTCTCAAGGTGGAATTCTTTGTCCAACTTTCAGTATTAAACATGGTCCAGCGACAAGCCCACTTTTATCGAATTCCTCACCTGATCATTGTCATGGGTTGGAAAGTGATTTTAGGGAATGTCTTGTTAATTCGATTTTCAAGTACGATGACACTTTTTGACCTGCTTGCCATGATGAATGTTGGGCATGTTTGCCTCTTCGTGCTGATTGGAACCCTTCATGGATTTGGAAGCATGGCCTGCAGCTGCGAAAAAGTTTTAAATTCACTTCGCTCAACGGAAAATATTCGGAGTAAATACTTGAAATTGCAAATTAAGAGTTTGCAAGGCTTTGGGATACAAAATGGTCCACTTATAGTAGTCAAGTTTAATGCAATTTACTTTTGTGTTGGTGCAATTACAAACTTATTAGTGACAATTCTCGTATTACTGTAGGTATACACTTTACGGTCTCAATTAGGCTTGAATTGTTTTAATTTTATACCTGTAAATTATTTCCCAAAAGGATGTGCAAAGTGGAAATATTTAGATACGTATGTAGTTTCATATTACTCTGTCCAAAAATAATTGATCAATTTGCAGCAACTTAATTACAGGAAATGACCGCTAATTTATTTAGGTAAAGTACAATTTACTGACAAGCATATATGTACATATGTGTATGCTTAAATGTGTACGTGCATACCTGTATTACGATGTTAGAATTTATTATAGCTTTGGACAATATACATACGTATGTATGGTAATGGTAGATATGTATATATAGATTTGACTTAAATTGCACACGTGCATATTCAACATCCTTGTATGCACTTATGCAAGGTAGCATAGAATCATCGAAATAACTATAAAAAATGGAACTTTCTCTTCCTATTGTCCACATATCGCTAGGATAGATGAACCAAAAGGACAGTAAGTATCCGTCTACGGAAGCAATTTGTTTTGCACGAGAAACAAGATTGGCTTCTACGGAGGTGTCAATTAGCTATATTCGCTCTTGTATCAATTCGTGTTTATTAGATTAAAAATTCACAGGGATGTATATACATATATACAGCGCAGATAGGACTCGTGATCATCATTCGCTCGTTCATTTTGCAAGTGTAATATCTTTGCCATCGCATGAGCTAGAGTTTCCCGTTTCAAATTTGTTTGCACATAATAATGGAACAGCACGTTTATCCGTATAAAGTCCGAGTGTATTATCACTACTGCCAATTTACAAGACAGTTACTTGCTTAATAAACTCTTTTGCATATAACAAATGTAATTTGTATGATAAGCTTTTGAAATTTACGAAATAAAGGGGAAAAAGTAATCATTCTGGAGATGAAACATGCCCTCACTTCGTCATGATAACGTTCTGTTGAACCGATGCATAACAAAATTATAGAACCAGGTGATTAAAATGCATGAATACATATAAATGTCGCCTTGATTAAGAGAAAATGATTAGAAACTTCGCCAATAACTACGATTCAGACCAACAGGAAAATTTTATTAACTCACTAGCATATATTATACGAACAGCATATCCTGTCAATTATCACTTACAAATTTTAAGAGTAAGTCCTTCAGAAGAGTAATGAAGGGGCTAAATCAAATAGTAGAATTATTGTTTACGGACATTATGGATATACAAATGTGAGAAATTTTATAGTTTTAAAAAAAATCGAATCAAGCTTTTGATTTCGATTTTTACGTCAATTAATTATTACTCATGGGTAACAGCGAACAGAAACTTTGTATATATGAGCCATATTTTCAATCTTAAGCATTGTTATCATCAAGAGGTACCATTATCTGTGCTTCTAAGCGTCTGACTTTCTCCTCGCCGCCATGACCCCCACCGTATTGAACAACCAATTTCTGTCGTAGCTTTGCCTCTTTTGCTCGCAGTTTATCCAACCAATGGTAACCGTTGACCGTATTACTTGACACTATTTTGTAAAATTATTCAGAAATATGAGATAATAGTAAATATCTAATTGTATTACGCATAAGTTACTTACACAGAGTTTTAAACTCTTGATGTAGCATAATAGCTATAAATAAAATAAATATTTCATTTGAAGATATTTTTATATTTGAATTTTTACTGCATTACCTGGATCTTCCTGAGAACCAATTCTATTCAGATGTCTCTTATATTTGTCCATATTTTTGTCCCTAAATTCCATGGACAATTTTCTTAAGCCATTCTCCAAGTTTTCGGCCTCCAACTTTGTCTTAATGAATTTTTTCTTGAGTCGGTTTTCTTTGATTTGGACAAATATTTGTTAAAAATTCATCAAATGTACTTCAAATGAAACACAATTTTTACTACCTTCCACAGTTGATTCAAACGATGCAAGCTTGTCCTTCGGAATTTCCAGTCCAAAGGGATTTCTCGGCGTCCCCATTATGGTCACCTTAATATTCGCCAAGTTATTTCGAAAATAATGAGAAATTGTTGACTTGTGGAGAAATATGTTAAAGAAAAGAAAGTTATTAAACTCACTTGTCTGCTTGTATGTAAATTGAGACACACCATGGTTTTGATAAGATATGCAAATGATATGATTAATTATCTAGTTATGCCTCTGAGTTTGTTGTTAGCGTGTTGTTGAGAATTGAAAGACCTACTTGTGACTAACTACTCAACCCTATTATTATTTATCATGATTTTAGACGAAGCTTTTAGAAGGTTCAGCTCAGGTAAAATGTATTTTTACTCGCATCTAAATACATATATATGTAGGGTAAAATGACCTTATTTTATAAAAGGAGTTTGAAGACCTCAAGTTCACGTCTATATTGGAAATTCTTTCACTTTTGATTGTGTCAACGGCCTATGCACATGTATGTATATTTAACTTAAATTGTACACGTTTATACTGAACATCCCTATATGTACATACATATGAATCGTCGAAATAACTATAAAAAATGGAATTTTCTCTCCCCAATGTCCACATATTTCTAGATAGATACACCAAAAGGACAGTAAGTATCCGTTTGACGGAAGCAATTTGTTTTGCACGAGAAACAAAATTGGCCTCTACGGAGGTGTCAATTGGCTATATTCGCTCTTGTATCAATTCGTTTTTATTGGATTAAAAATTCGCAGGGATGTGCATACATACGTAGGTACAGCGCAGATAGAACTCGTTAAGGAAAGTATGATCATCATTCGCTCGTTCATTTTACAAGTACTGTAATAATTTTGCCGTCACACGAGCTACAGTTTCCCGTTTCAAATTTATCTGCGTATAATAAGTAGAACAGTACATTTATCCGTATAAAGTGTACTACCACTCCTGCCAATTTACACTTGCTCAATACCCTCTCTTGCATACTCCATATCCTAAATCGTTTCCGAAATAAGCCCGTTGACTTCCGCAGATGCAACATTTTTGCCTCTTGAGACCAATGTGACCACTCCGTTATAAAAAAGTTGCACCCGGTAATTGTTACCTACTCCACTGCTACACAAGTCTATCTACTACACACTCCTGATTGCGAGTGGGTGGACTCCCACGAGGAGAAAGTGTGCGTGTCAGCGAGACCAAATGTGCGTTAATGACCAACCCACCACACTACATTACCGTGAAATTGAACCCGATCTGTTTCCGGAACCTGAGAAGCGAACTTTGAACCAAAACCCAATCTATTCCACCACCACGAACCAACAGATAATATCCTCCACACATACATGTCCCTGGTACTTGCACGCTCTTTATTTTACGGCAATGTTCTCAATTACGATTATTTTTAGCATGCGAACTTGGAATCTTGGACACAAAGTCATCTCATCATCCTTTCTTGGTTGTAAGTGCGTGCCATGAAATGAAGTGGAGAACTTAACCAGGGCGAGTACCATTTAACCAAGTGACTTGCATGGCGAACTTTCTCCTCTCTGGCATCGGGTCCACCTCGATCTTTCATCAGATCACACATCGATATACACACGTTCATTGTGGAAGAGTGACTGACGATGGTTGGTTGATGAAATTGGAGAGACTTGGTGATTGCTGATACTGATACCGGTCTTCCATGGAATTTGAGTCGGTTTGGTCCAGCCAGTCGAATCAAAAAGCCGCAGAAGTCCATTACATTACATTAACTGAGTCCTCTCTTCTCGCATTACCATCCTTCCTTTTTCAGCGTGTAGGGATGGTGAGTGAGTGGGTTGGTTGGTGAGATGTTATCAACGAAACGACTGTTAAATTATCCGTGGAGTAGTTTTACCCAGAAATTGAGTACTATATTACTTTCACTTCAATTCATGGAGCTACTGACACTAAGAAAATTTGCGGAGGAGGGGATCCCATGTCAAGAAGTGATTCGCGAGAAGAGAGGCAATGCAGATTTATGTGATGTACATACATAATAAGACCATTTTTATTTTTTAAATGGCCCATTATACATGATTTTATTCAAGTGGTAGAAGATGACGGCAATAATAGTCTGCTTGCCAAAATGGCGAGCTCACTCGAGAATAATAATATGCCAATTTAAAGCCCAAAGTTTACATGCAATTTCATTCGCGAATGTGGGTTAAACAGGCGGGTGAGTAGTGGCTCTTGTCGATGGGTGGTATCATGTCTGAACTGACAAAGTAAACCAAGACCAGCGAGACAAAGAAACAATTACAAGTGCTTAGATTGTCTGCTAGATATACAAATGAACCTCCCCGGGTAGCGATTGCCGAATTCTGAATACAAATTTGCACAAACTATTCCAATTTCTTTGAAGCAGTGTGGGGCTGAATAAACTTGACTAAACTCGACTCCCTGAAGTGCAACAACATCCCTAAGCCAGTCATCTACCCAACAACAACAAGAGAAGCAGGACAGGAAATTAGCTTGTAACACTAACTTGTCTTTCTCTTCAGTGGTGCATATGCATTTGTATAGCGGAGAGAATTCTTAAGTCCGGTCGTGGCGATGATAGACTAGAATCTTTGCGTGGGGAGGGGAAATGTTGTCATTTGTGGGAGGAAAGTTGGGCGTTGAATGAACGAGGAAGATAAAATCTCTTTCCTGCCTTTTCTCTTTTCATTCACGAGGCAAGTTTAGGACTGGTTGAAGCGTGTAGAAATTAAAATTGGTCCCTCGTTTATGTATGGGGACTAATTTTCGGACTTAGTTATTTTCGTTGGTCTCTCCCTTTTTCTTTATGAATCAAAAAGCTATTAAAACATATTTTGATTGGAGAAAGTAAATACAGCAAGAATTTGTTATGAAGAATCAGTAATATTAAAAACCGTGATAATTGGGGATCTGCTTCCCACACGATTTGGACAGTTCCTAAGAAAATTTTCAGCTCTAGTATAAAATCACCATTGTAGCAACAATAAAAAGTTGGGTACGCATGTAGCGATCGAAGGAAATCGAGGGATGTGATTGATTCGACTTCTACACTCTATCACCTCTCGTTTTTGCAATTTTCCCTCTCGACCTGTCAGCCCTCAAACAAATTTTGATTGATTGAGACCCAAAGCGCAACACTGTCTGGTTTGGTTTCGCAGTGAACCAAATCAGCCACCATCGTCCGTCCGTCCTTAGTCCATGCTTTCTCCGATCCGCATTTTCATTTCTTTCTGTGCAGTACTCTATTCGATTGGAGTGGCGTGGCTGTGAGTGGATATTGGAGGAAATTTTGAGTCCGTGGTGGAATATTGGATTGGATGGTGCGGGTGGATGGTCTCTCCCCTTGGACCTTAAGTAAGATATAAAAACGCACTTCTTCAAAAAAACGGGAGCTTTTTTGACTCGCACTTTTTTTGCTGCTTTTCAAGATGTGAGTTTGGGTCGTTGGTTCCTTGACTTTTCCATTCTTCCTGGGCCACGCCGATTTTATTTTTTATTTTATGCTTTACCTTTATAAGTCGAGGAGCAGCCTCTCTCTCTCGTGAGTACCTTTCCAGCTTTCACTTTCCGCACGAGGTTCACTCTGGGGTGTAATAATGCGCATCTTATGTGAGGAGAGAAAGTTCAACAGAGATAGACACATGCTCCTTCGCTCCTCCTGTCAATTGAAGATATTAGAGAAAACTAAAAGGAGAGAGAGAGGTGCGAGCGGCGGTGGTCGAAGTTTTTCTTCACCGGTGTGAAAAGTACTGCAGATATTTAGATAGGAAAGCGAGTCTACCTTTATTTTATTACCAGGAACGACGCCGAACTTGGTAGTAGGTTGACTTTATCACGAGATTTTGAACGACCTGCTTGGCTGCCTGTCTGGCACATAACCAACCCGGGGAGAAAATTCATATATGAATATTCATATTTCTTTCAAAATATGTCCTTAACGAAAACTAATGTCTTTCACCATCGCTCGCAAGCCGATTATTGAGCACTTACCTCCAGACCGGCACAACTGATGCTTACATGTGGCTCTGACTGGAGGAGAGTGATATACACATGGCGATAAGACGAATGGTTTCCAATCTCGCCATGTTCCCGATATACAGATTCGCTGGATTTCGAACGAACGAACACAAATGATGCTATTCAGCTCAGCAGATCGACGGAGTAGACGACGACGACGAAGCCATGCAGCCGATCTGGGACGTTATTTGCAGGTGTGAGTGATTGATGATCATATAACGACTCATCGTTTTTGCAAAGCCACGCCATTCATGATCGAATCTTGGAAAATTCAGGTTGAAGTTGTGATGCAAAAAATTAAGCACGTCGAACCAAGATAATTAGATGCTGGGACGGGACAGGCAGACGACCTTATTTGTTTCCCGTGAAGCTGAAGTTTACTAGTTTGATAAATTAATGCGTTACCAAATAACCAATTGTTGAATTATTGATTGAGAGGTATCATCAGTTGCTTTGCCAAACGTCTTGATTTCCTCGACTTTCCCGAATTCTACAAATCTCACTCTACGATTGAAAATAGATTGGAATTGTAGCCAAACTCTTACACAAGAGTAAAAATAATGGCAATCTAATGAGAAAAGTTAGCAAAGAAACTGTAGAAAGACATTAATTTGGTAGGAATATCCCATTCATTCGACTTGTAGAATTGTATTCAAATCTACTTTCACTTGTAGTTAACAACAGCAACGAATTGGCCATATTTCAAATCTACAACATTTCATTACGATGTCGAAGTTAATTTGTTATTACCAATTTCAAAAGAAGTATCTACTATCAATCTTTGAAAGTTACGTGATATAAAGTTTGATAAATAAGAAGCAAAAGTTATGAGATATCTTTTCTTTTTATTCTACTTGGAAATAAAGGAGAAGCAATTTTAATAAAAAATCTGCATCGCCCATAAAAAGTTGCTCAACAAAATGGGAAAAACATGAGTATAATATTGATAATTAAATTTTCATTGCGTAACTTTTAGCTGTTTCATATCACCAAATTCATCATCATCATCATCATGTCATTTTAAACTTACTATGCCTTTCATACATATGCATGGTACAGTCTCATTAATTGAAAACATCTCTATATTATACAAATCCCAGTTTATTTATTTAGTCGTGTACGTAATAACTAAACTGCATTGCATTCAACCTGACCCTTGAGCTTTACAGCAGCCCGTTCCGTTCCCATTCTCCCCCAGACTTTCAAAGAAATTTCGAATGCAAAGATCAAAGCAACACAGAAATGTAAATGTGATCCAACAAAACTTACTCCCTCCCTTTGCCTCGTAGATATTTAGCTGCTAAGAAATTACAAGTATTTATACCCCTCTCGGCCTAAACGGTCTCATCTTATTCATCCAAGCAAACAGTGACAGCCCCAAAGATGAAGATGGTTTACAAGGTTCTTCTTGTGTAATGAGTGTGCAGTTGTAAATAAGAAAGCATTCCAGTAAAATACGGAATGGTACGCATTTCTCAGGGCTATAATATTATAGGATTTCGTCCTCTGCGGTACATTCATCGGCAGAGTTATTTCTGCTGAACCCTTCACCCGTATGCATGCATTTTAAATAAATACTTTACCAACTGCATGCAACTAACTGCATTTAATGGAAATATCAGATCTTTCTTGTCCATGTGCTCATTCATCCATCCACCCACCCACATGGTTCACATTACTATTATCGCATTTCCGTTCCAGAACGGGACTTTCCATGCTTTTTCGTCATCATCACTGCTCAATAGCTTTTGACTTTGAATATCCTCTGACATTGGACAACAACAACAACATAAATATCGCTGTCGTCAATCTCCAACATAATTCAATCGTCGTCCGTCAACCAGCCAGACAAAAAGCAGCCACCCTTCGTGTACTAGGTCCCTCTTTCTATGCTCCTCGGTTATTTAGGCCTTTGTGTAAGGAATACTCTCCTGGTGCTGTCACGTCTCTTCCGGGATGGATAAAGGATGCGTTGCATATTTTACTATATTTATATACTCATGCCTCTGCTGGTAGTGATATCGGTATAACAAAATCCCTGACTAGCGGAAGTAGGAAATCTTGTAAAACCAAACGAACCGAGGAGCAAAGTGATGATTTCGAAACAAACGAAATTAGAAGTGAGAAAATGTAAAATCTTTAAAATAAGTTTGTCTTTTGCTTGTTTTTCTCTGCCTTCTTCAGGATTGTAGACATGCAGGGGTTAGTAAATAGCATGTAGTAGTTGTCGTCGTACGTAGGTTGTAAAATCCGGTAAGAGAGTCAACTCTTCACATTTCGTAAAACTGAACAATTTTGGGGAGTCGAGAGCCAATGACAGTCGGATACGGATGGATGCTCAGAAATCTTCTTTTTCTTTTCCCCATTCACCAATCTGTCTGTCTTGTAGATATGCAGCATCTTGTGATCTGTTGTAAGTTGTGACTTGATTTTAGAAACTGGGGTGAAGTCAGTTGAAGTTGCTTTATTTCTTGTTTTAACTACTCAACATTATTGCTCCAGTCATTACTTTTTGAATTGGCCGTAAAACGCCCGTTAGTTCGATGATGGGGGTGGCGTTTTATTTTGACCGTGCCACCAACTAAACCAACCCTGCCTGACTTGTTCTGTTTAATTTTAGTAGAAAAAGTAAAAGCCAATAAAGTTTTGGGAGGGAATAAGCCATCTCAATTTTAGAATCGCTCAGCTCAATCTTTGACTTGACTTGCACTTTCGTGATGTTACGCATTTGCTTGTTTTGGGTGGATATTATTACCTACCCCTTTTTCTTATGAAGACTGTTTTGTGCTGTTTGGGAAGAAGCACAATCAAGAGAGCTTTGATTCACGTTGTTTCCAATGATTTGAAAAGTTTATGGGTAATTCCATTTCCTCAAGTCTGCCTACTTAATTGTTTAACTGAGGAAGACAATTCATGTCTCACTTTCACCAGAAATAAATATTATGATACATACATAGGTATTATATTACGTGTATATGTAAGCATTATAATACGTCTTATCTATCAAGAAAACTGTTAACAGATTCCTCATGTAATAACGCGATAATTTTTGCACGTACTTATTGAAACCAATTAGAAAAATCTTTATTAGTAATTGAATAGCACTTATACAAAGTGCTTGAGTAGAATCCCATCAATTTATAGTTTATGATTTATATTTTTTATGCATTACATGAAATTCATTGAATATAATTATTATCTGTATCATTTGTTATTCATTGTGACCGTGATTACGTAAGCGATATGTCACACGAATTTTCCAGGAACATTTGTAACCCCTCTTCTAAATTGCGTACTTTATCCTCTCCTATTTGTCCTCCACCATAATGTACAACTAGTTTTTGTCGTACTTTCTTCTCTTTTAATCGCAACTTCTCCAACTTTTGGTGGCCGTTTTCAGTCTTACTCCCCACTATTTTATGCAATTATTTTGAATTATTAGGTGATAATAAATACTTTTTGTATGAGGGACTCACATGATACTTCAAAGTCTCGGTTTAGATGAAACACTATAACAATTAAAGTATGAAGTTAAACATTTTATTTTCAGCATTTCAATAGAAATTGCAATACCTGTGTCCTCTGTAGAACCAGTTCTCCTGAGGAACGCATTCATTTTTTCATAATTAACGTCTCTAAACTCTTGACATAATTTTCTTATAGAGTTCTCCAATCCTTTAGCTTTCATCTTAATAGAGATGAACTTTTGTTTCAGTTTTATTCCTTTGAAATGAAAACATATTTAATAAAAATCTGCTATAAGAGTATCAAATAAAGCACTGTCCGCAATACCTTTCACCGTTGACTCAAAAACTTGTAACTTATCAGCCGGGAATATCAGTACAGGGGTCCCCATTGTGACGACCTTATAGGGCACGATAAATTTGAAACTATTTTAGTAAATTAATAGCAACTCGAAGAACAAGGAAGAGGATAAATGCACTGGAGGATTTTTGAGGGCAAATGAGCAGAAATAAATAGCTATGCAAATCAAACATGTTAGAATATCAGATCATGTATTTATGGTAGTCAGTATGTAATTCGAAGATAAGAATAATTAACTATAGGTAGGAGAGTGCAAATGGAATTATATTAAACTTACGTGTCTACTATTTGTATTGAGACAAACCATGATGTTGGAAAGATACGCAAATTATATGATTAATGCAATATGTTCTTATTTGTTAGCCGGTAAGTTATAAAAGTTGAGCAGTGAGTGACTGAACTTTTAACGCTCAAACTATATTTTCAGTTGAATACTATTTGTACGACTTGACCCTTGAACAAAACCAAAAGGTCCGTTTTCAGGTAAAATATATTTTTACATGAAAATAATGATTCGTCTATGTATATAGTTATATGTACATATGTTGGTACATATGAATTTCATATTATGAAATGCATCGTAGCTATTTACATGTATACCATAGATAACAATTCATCCATTCTTTCCTAACTTTACCCATGTACGAAATACTCGTCATTACGTTTACTCTTTTTTTTATTTTACTCAAATATAAAGTCACTCGTGCATCATCATTATTATCACACGCACAACGCTGCCACCCACTATCCAACATCCCCTCGCACTCACTCCTCCAAATTCTAAATCCGAATTACAAGTTAAACACATCCTTCCTTCCTCATTCCTTCCGATCGAATTTGTAAGTTTGCCCATTACAGATACGATTTCTTCTTATATTGCTGCTCTCACTGCTGCACCGCACTCTTCTCTCCCTTCGGATTCAATTCTTTAAAATGAGGAGGCAAGTCTTCCATCCTCATTTCTCTGTTTGGTTGGCTGGGGGTGAAAATAAAATCTTTCTCATTTAAGCCTCTCGCTTTGAGGGAACGTGCCTCGGTCTACTTTGCTTTCTACAGTACGACTTTAGTTTGTTTAACACTTGTATATCAGGCAAAAGGGGTTTTGTGCAATTGCAGTTGCCATCAATCCTTCATTAGTTTGGGTGCATATTAGACTGCAGTTTATATTGCATGGTACGTATTTCTACATGCATGGCTTCCATTTTATGTCACCGAGTCTATATCCTCTATCATGGAATATTCTTCTCAAATCTTTCGACTTACCAAGTTCCCCTGTCTTCACAGGATTGAGATCTTTATTATTGAAAAGCTGGAGTGTTTTCCACCTCGGGGTTTACCCCTTGTTCGATTTCAAGAGTAGTCTCGTTTTACTGCCCTGTGGTATTATGAGAATTCTCTGAAAATTACGATACTAACATTAACAGCTCTTATTATACAGGGCTGAGGCAAGGGAAAGTAGGTATGTACCGTAGTGAAATTTGAAAATGTTGATCGTTGAGCATACTACAAAATGTCAATCCAATGATCTGCTGTTGCTGTTTTCCCCTCTTTTTGGGTTGGTTCGTCATTTAGAGGCTTGAATCTGTCAAAGCCATGATCGTGCCGAGTTGCCCTTTTCTATTTTTTGAAATTCCGTCAGTATCCCCCCTTCCTCGCCTCCATTTCTCCGTCCTCGGGGTTGTGCTGGCTGGAGTTGCTTTCCTTTAAATTTTAAAGAGGAGAGTGCCCCTGCAATTCCACGTTTACTTACTGCTGTGATATTTCCATCACTTTATGGTAAAAGGGGGAAGTCATCTCTTATGTCTCCGACCAAAGAATTAGTATAATGGTAATGGCCGGGTTATAATGTGCGCTAGTGTTGCTTTATGCTCGAAATGAAATCAAGAAATGCAGTCTGTTTCAATTCAAACGTTTCCTTTCTCTTCATAATTATTTGAGTTTATTCTCGGAATAATTTCATTTCAGAATCATTTAGTGGAAACAAACAAATTGAATTTTTAATGGACGTGACTTATTGTATGTATGTTCATATGTACACAAACTTGCGTGCCTTTGGGCTATGAAAACAATGTAACAATGGAAAATGCATCCATTGCATCGCATCGCATTGTCACATTATTTGTCAAAACTTTCACATGCACAAACTGCATCATTGTTGCCTTTCAATACATACCGTAAAAACTCAAATAGTAGCCGGGGGCTACTATTTATAAAATCGGTGGCTGGGACCCGGCTACTATTTGAGCAAGGCTACTATTTGGGCAAGGTCACTATTTCTAAAATTATGAAGATGGACACGGCTACTATTTGCATACGACTATGATTTTCAATTCCTGAATCAAGCTCAAATTAAATTTAAGAACAACACCAATTTTGCCCTTAGAGTCATAGTCATTAGAATATTCTGCTCGACTTGCTCTTCAACGATTCCTTCGATGACCTAAATAATTTAGGCTAAATTCGTGTTTTGTCGCTTCTATGGCGTGTAACTGCGATTATATTGAATTATCTTAATAAACTGTCAAGAAGTGTAGTAGTATGGAGCATAGAATAGTATAGTTCTGCGTATGGAGATTTATTTAGACGCGTCTATTCGAATAAGGCTACTATTTGGGCAGGGCTACTATTTGGGCAAGGCTACTATTTGAGCACGGTCACTATTTACAAAATTATGTAAATAGACACGGCTACTATTTGAGCACGGCTACTATTAGAGCAACGGTTACTATTTGAGTTTTTACGGTACATCATTAGATCAGCACTCGAGGCATTCTTCAACATTTAACCCTTATCAGAGCTACATCGTATCCTGAAGAAATAGACAATTTTCTAAATTCTACAGAAGAAGAATAGCTATGCCGATTTAGAAGATTGGATTTGTTTGTGGTTTCATGAAAATAGCTAAGCCTACAGAATACAGACTGGATAAGAATAAGGGGTAAGCCATCGACAGATGCACACACACAAAGGAAGGATATTCCTTTACAGAATTCAATAATACAAGTGGGGAAAGTACAGAACAGATATTCAATATTTTCAAACTTTGTGATGCACTTATCAGAAATAATGGCAATACTGGATCTAGACGACAACTTTCTGCTGAATGCGAATATATACTCGAGAGAAACAAACTTTTTTTTATCCTGGTAAAAAGAATAGTTCAAAGTTTCTCGTATTGCACTGCAATACGACAAGCTAAAAACATGGAGATGGTCACATCGCAAAAATTCCGATTCATGGATGTTCCTCCATTCTCAGCATTCTTCTTTCCTCGTCTCGTGCCGCGCTGCACTTTTTCTTTCTTCTTCCCTTTCATCTTGTTGACTATCTGTGAACTTGATTTTTTTCTATTGACATTGAACACAATACAAAAGAAGGCTAGACAGTGAGATGAATGTGGGAGGAGGAGGAGGAGTAGGAAATGGGAAAACGAGGCCTGGCATTAGTGATGCGTGCAGTGGTGGAACATGTGCAGCAGAAAATATGTAGTGCAATTGGACCAGAACTATTTCGAGTATTTGGACACAAGTACAAAACCAATCCAAATACCACAAAAGTCTGGAGTGAAGATTTGAAGAGTTTGAGGATTTCAAGTTCACGGCTAGGAAATGCCTCCTCTCTTCAATTGTCAACGGCTGTCAGATATGCCGTCTAACTACTGCAACAAAAAATTCAATGTGGAAAATCGATCCTCAAATAAGTTTCATTTTCACTAACTCCAAATAACATCCTCTGCATTTTTTCGTATGATTGTTCAAGCCTGGATTTGTAGTTGTATGACATGCACACTGAGTAAACAGAGTGAATTATGCATACTTGCAACTTTTCTAAAGACATATGCAAGTAAGTAAATACTTATATACAATTTAGTTTTATTTAAAAATGCAAGCATGGATTTAGCCATGGCACATTCGGTGTAATGCATACATAATAAATTCCACCAATCTTTTATGTTATGAGCTCGTATCGTCATTTAAAAGAAAATTTCTTCCACCCTTTGCTTTCTTGGATCGTTTTCTCTTTTCCGAGTCGCCTCTTTTTGAATCCCGACTCTCCCCAGTTCTACATACGCATTGCAATGATATCACTCCATGCACAATTACATACACACCGATAAGGAAATCTGACATGGGAGTGGAAATTGTATAAAAGTTGAGCATGTGGCAGTTAGTGGGTCTTCTTTGAAATGGTACGTTTTGGTAGCAGCAGTTGAACGTATGAATATTCCAAGTAACCGTTGGAGAAAGCTGGAAATATTGCACCCCAATAATATAAAGAGAGAGAGAAAGAGCGCTTTCCTATTTCCCATTCCAACATTTCTAACCCTTTGGTTTGGCTTAAATAGAATAGAGAAATCCCAGAGGCACGAGTTTGGCGGAGAAACAGGCGTTTTTTAATAGCATCATATTTTTACAGTGGCAAATAATGTGACTTTTAGATACGCCGTTACTTCCATTTGTTCTCTTGACTTCTTCTTCCTTCTCTGAGGGGATAAGAATATGGAAAGTAAGAAGAGCCAAGAATAAGGATTCGAAAAGTAGAAACCGACCCAAGCAAACATTTGAATATACTACGTGGACGTGGACACTTTGTCAAAGGTATACCGTTTTCTCCTACATATTTAACTCCTACTTAGGACGAGATAGGTAATTTTACGTAATGCTGCTATTACCCATTAGAAAATTCAATTATCCACGTACCTACGTTATTATTAAAGGGGAAGAGTTATGTTATGAAGCAGAATAATAATTTGTTACCCTTAAATGAAATTGAAATTAGTGTGATAAAATTCAAACTTAGGACTCGTAATTAGCACATAAAATCGACAATTTGGTCCCATACATACATACATAATTATTCCTTGTAAAATCCTCTCCCATAAAAACATTTAGAGACAGAAGGAGAGAAAGAAAAAATACTGTTTGGAGGAATTTAAAGAATAACCAGATTATCCCATTTCTAAGAGAATGAACAAAACTCTTGTGAAGACGGAATTCGAATTGAATGCACTTCACAGTGGGAATTTCTCGAGACAATGCAGTTGGTTCTTGGTTGCGGTGGTTGGGAAAGAAATAAATAATGCAGCGACAAGCTTCCTCCTTTCCCTCCTTCGTTGGTACTTTCCACCCTCGCTCACTCACTCACTCACACTTCTTTCACTTTCTTTCTTCCTTCCGTTTCCACCATTTCCGTGAAACAGGGGCAGCAATAACAGAAAAGAAAAGCAACCCTCTCTCTCTTTTCCACTTCATTTTTCTTCCCTAGGAAGAAGATTCCACGACTCAAAATGTATTTACATTATTTGGTCCAGTGTCATAATATGGTCGTATCTTAAAATCAAAATGCATTCTCGCCCGAATTTTGTAAGCATTAAAATGAAATCTTGAATCCCTTTTCAGGTATGTAGAGTTCGCATCCCGGTGCC